AGCAGGGGGAGGCAGTGCTCTGTGCTTTCTTAAGGTCACAGACGATCATACTTTGCAGCCCTAGCACCATAAATCTGGACATAATTAGCAGGATTTGCTTTTACAAATCTATTAAATGCTTATTCATTTCTGCCTAATTCTGCCTAATTATTGTTTAAAAAGGAGCTGTAGTAAGAATTGACAGCTTGCAGTCTCAGAACTGCAGGATGATGTTTATGGTGTATTTCTCAATCATCACAAAATCATCTAAGTAGATATTCCTCAGGAAAGTTTAGGATTTAAATTCAATAGAAAACAATATTTTAAAAAATAGTGTATGGAAACAAATTACATCCTTATGTCCACTGACTGAGATGAGACATTCTTCCAAGAAAACATTTTCTAAGGCACATCTATTTTTGTTTCCCTTGACATTTCCTGTGAAATTTCTTAACTCTTGTACATTCAAGCAGTCCCTATATAAGGCCAAAATATCAGACCAAGAAATTTAATATGGATTGCATATTAAGCACCTTATCTACACAATTCCAGGGTCTAGACATTCGGAAGCATCCGGTTAGGCATAATGTAGAACAATTGAGATTACGGATTACAACCCTAGATCCTAAACTGCCACACACATTCTGGGTGTCCAGTTAAATGCTGAGGTAATTTAGCCCAAGAATAACACTTTGTCACCAATGCCTCTGCAAGCATGCTTCAGAACAAACACATCTCCCCGCTACAGTTAAGGGCTACACCAAATACGGAGTTTCCCGTGTTTACTGAAGTCTGACTTCCTCATCACACTTTTCTAGATGCACAATCTAGAAGTAACATTCTTGAGCAGTGGACAGTGAATGTTCATTGTTCTGAACCCAAAGGAACAAAAACTCTAACCAAAAACCTGGTGATGGTACTTTCACATTCTGAATTTCACTTTTATGAGAAATAGCAACTAAATAATAAATCACCTCACATTAAGTAACTTTAGAACCACATGGGCAGCCAGCTCAATTTCCTGTACTGTCTACATCTACAGAAGTGTATGGTAAAAACAGAACCTACTATGATGGCCTCAAGGTGCTGAAGAATTCTGAGAAAGTAAGAAGTCAAAGAAAAATTACACAAAACATGTCTATTTGACTACACATTCATTATTTGGAAAGGCATCGTCTTTTGTCATGGGAATATTCTTTACAATGAACATTCATTTCTCCAAATCCTGTGTACAAATAGGAGTCCTAGAAGATCTTTTATTTCACTGCTGTAATTTTGTTCTTCTAGTAAAAAATAAATGTATCCTTCAGACATTCTTTATTTACTACTGATCCTAGAAATGTCTGTTTTCAGTCACACCACCCAGCTCCATGTGGAATATTTTGTATTAATTATCCTCATTACCAGATGATCTTCATCTTTTCATTCTGACATCTGCTACAAGGAGCAGTTTGGAGCTCCCTGTCAACTACTTCACAAAGGCCTTCTCACTTGTGAAGGAGGCTCCCGATGATAGTAGGACTTCATCAGCTAATCTCATCAGCTAATTCTCAGCTAGGCACAGCGGGCTTGCTGGCAGCAGCCCACTGGTTCACAATGTTCTGTCCACGTTAGAAATGACTCAAAAAGGCTATGCAGGCATCTTGACCCACCTTACATGGTACCTTTCCCACTTAGACATCGATTTTCCGAGCCTTTGCTAGCAATTTCCAGCATATCATCCTCTATGCGCCTTGATTCACAACTCAAAAAAGCTCTAGAAATTCAAAATTAATAAATCTAAATCTAAGTTGAAAATGCTTTATCAATCAAATAATGATTAAACATCACTACTACAGGACTCAAAAGAGTAAAAACTTTCTTCACAACAGAAGACAATTAAATATGTGTCTCTCCGGGAAGAAACTAGATGGACACTTGAAATTCCTGGTTATTTTTGTGAAGAAATGAAAATGATATTCAAGTAGGAAAAGATAAAAAAGAACACACATGCAAAGCACAAAATAAGTAACATTTATTATTCTAGAACACTTTATCAACAAATTTGAAAGAAAAATCTTTCAGCATTTTAGTGTGTAGCTCAGTGTCTGCTCTTACATGTTTAGAAAAATGTACTTGACCAGCACTTCCTGTGCAAGGATCATCAACTGCAGACCAAGAAGCATTTTCTTTTGTTGTATCCTGCTTGCCTGTGGCAGGATAATAAATACTATTCCACTCTTAAAAAAAAATGAAGAACAGTTTGCCAAATATTTTCCTTGTCCGAATCAATGCATTGTTTTGCATCTTTGCACTTCTTGCATCCCAGTGCCAAAACAATTGGGAGTGAAACAGGAAAGAATACTATCACACATCCTATTCACTGGTTTAAAAAAGAATCATCTAGCGCCTCCTCTTCCACCAAGCCTTGAATGCCAGGACATTCCAGCCTAGCTACCTCACAGTGGGCAGCCAGCAGTGACACAGCCCAGCTGGCAGGCCACATGCAGCAGACTAGCTCCATAGCCTTCGGGGCCAAGGATGTGGGACTCAAAGAAACAGCACAGCACAGAGAAGTCAAGCTGACTTTATTAATGTAACACTTGACTTTCACTCCAGCTTTTAGGAAGCAAGTACCTTGTATTGATTATCACTTGATGTTTCTCTCTACCACTGTCCACAGGTGAACAGGATCTCGGTACTATGTGTTTACCCTTCTGCCTCTGCGTTGACAGGTGGTTGTGACCAGCAGCTGGACAGCTCACCACTAGGCTTGCCTCCTCAGCCTAACACCCTGATCCCACGGTACTGTCCTGACCCCAGAGCTGCTCCTTTGGCCCAAAAGGATGGCAAGAGCTGAGGGTAGGGCCACATCCTGTCCACTGACATAGAGGTGACTGCTGAGCTCACTGTCCCAGAAGTCACCAGCTGGTTATGTGCATGACAAACAGCAGGCAGGTGTTTTTACATTGGTCCCTAACTTCTGGACTTGGAACTACTTCTAAGAACTGAGTTGCTGCATGCCAGGGATGGTAGAAGAAAAGAAACTAAAGACTGGGGGATTGGATGATACAAGGGAAAGAAGCAGAAGCATTAAGGCAGGAAGAGGAGGAAAAAGAGGGGAAAAGAGGAAACAAAATGTGAGCAGAACTAGAGGATCTGGACAATGAGCAAAGATGCTCACATGAGGCCTTCAGCCACTGCTGTCCACACTAGAAGGCCATGGAATTCATGCCAGTGGTAAGCGCCTCCCCACAACTTCTGCTACCCGTGACCCCACACCCCTGCTGAAGCTCTCTGGCCTGGCAGCCACCCAAACCAAGTTCATGGCAGGCTTAAGAAAGTTCCAAAAAGACTTCTGAAATATATCCTGATTGTCCTCAGTCTTCTTAGTAAAGATCTTCTCTCAGGAGATATATTTTCTCCTGTCCTTTAAAGATAATGAAAAGCCATTCATCCAACACAAAGTAGGATTCTGAAAATTCTGAATAACTTTAAAAGACATAAATAATAATTATTTTTAGTTTAAGTCCAAAGGCGATAACCCCAGGTCCCCTCATGTACAGAGTGCAGATGAAATGGCAGCGACCCAGCCTAACTCTGAGTCCCTCCCTGGGTACCGGAAAGGACACACGTCACAGATCTCAAGGTCTGGGTCAAACCCAGCATCCTGCCCAGAGTGTCCCGCCAGACCGCACCAACTTCCCAGCCAACAAGGGCAAGGGGGACAAGCGAAAAGATGTAAAGCTTTCTATTTTTCAAGTGTCTCCTTCAGGATTATCCAATTCTCCAGACCAGAGTAGGGGAAATAAGGCAATTGTTGCTAAACATATTTCACAAATGAAAGGATATACATACACCAAGGACATGTGGCTGTGACACAAGCCACATGGCTGCCTGGGGACAAAGAAATGATGACCACTGAGGTCCCTCAGCCCACCTCAGTGCTCTCATCCTGGACTCTCAGACTCATTAGCGTCATGCATGATACATCAAGAAGCAACTGCCGGAGACTACACTACCTGAAAAATACTGGAGTTTTCCAGCCTGATGGGAAAATTAATAATTAAAAACATTCTGCTTAAAATTTTAAATTGCCATGCCCAGGCATGTGCAATTCAGAAACTACAGGTGTTACAAAGAATAGGGAGCCACATAACAAGTACTGACCCATCGCTTTGATTTATCCCACTTAATACCTTTTAGATGCAATCTTTGGAATGTGTTATCTTAAGGTGCAAATGACAGGGAAGAGGCTTCCTAACCCGCCTCACGCTTCCCTTGGTGAATCCTGTTGGGCAGCAGATGGAAGCTTGCACCAGCGTCCATTCTTAAGTTATTACGCACGCCAAATCTGCACCAGGGTTCGCAATGCTCTGAGCTGACACAATGAAGCCCTGCTCCCTAAACGAGGTTATTTCCCCAGCTCACGCTGTTCGCACTCGGCGCTCTCAGCACAGCTCGCAGCTCCCACGGTTGGTGTGGCTTCCTGGGGAATCTCTGCCACCCACGGTGCCGCTGGAGCACTGAGCTCACCGCCTCGGGAATCACGTACCCCCAGGGTTGGGAAGGTGTCCGTTGCCCCCGGGTCAAGCTGCCTACATGGCCAAGGTCCCTCTCGCATCCCCGCGAGGTGACAAGCGCAGAGCAGGACCTGCTCCGGATCCCAGGGTCCCCACCCTCGCCCCTATGCCCCTCCGATGCTCTGCACAGACCCAGCTGTGGCGGCGCCGGTGACGCCGGGGCTGGGCTGCACGGTTACCGCGTGCAGTCGCCGGCTTGGACCCCGGTGTCCCCGCGCCGGGCGAGCGTTCGTCTGGCCCTGGTCCCAGCCCCACCGGCCGAGCGGTGAGCGGCAGAAGCGGTCCCCGTGCGTCCCCAGGGCCGCCGCAGCCCCCGCCTCGCCCAACCGAGAGCAGAGCAGGTGCGAGAGGCGCAATGGCGCGGACCCTCCCGGGGTGGCCCGGGCCCTTGCGCCCGCGTCCCTGTCCCCGGCCCTGGTCCCGGCCCCGCTGTCCCGGCCCCTGCCCCGGCCCGCTCACCTGCTGAGCGCCCTGCGCAGCCGTTGGCGCACCCCTGCGCGCGGGGACGCGGACAGGCCGCGCTCGGCCGGCAGAGGCTCGATGGTGGTCACCACGGGGCCCGGCGCGGCGGGCGGCTCGGGCGGCGACATCGCGGTGCTCACTGCGCGGCCGGCCGCATGGTCGCCGCGGGGTGGGGGCGGGGCGGCGCGGACCCGGCTCCACGGTCCCTCGCTCCCCTCGCGCCGCTCCTCCTCGCGGTCCGGTCCGGCCCGGCTGCGCCCGCGAGGCGGCGGCGGAGGCGGCGGCGGCGGAGGAGGAGGAGGAGCCCGCCCCGCCTTCCTCGCCAGGCGCCGTCCGCGTCCCCGGAGCCGGGCCCGGAGCGAACCGAGCGGGCGGGGACCCGAGAGCCGAGTGCGCGCGGCTCCGCCGGGGGGCGCTGCGGGGTCGAGCCCAGCCCAGAGCCGGGATGGAGAGGACCCCAAGCCTGATGATAGGGAGTCTGAGCTGGACAGAGGGGACCCCAAGCTGAGACTGAGGGGACCCCGAACCGGGACTGAGGACCAGCACCAGGCAGAGGGGACTTGAGCCTGTCAGAGGAGACCCCGAGCCAGGACGGAAATGAACGTGGGGAGCCGGTGGGATCTGCACCCTGTCCGCAGGGAGGCGCTGCGGGAGCCCGGCCCGGCCCAGTTCTGACCCGCCGGACTGTAGGGAGCCGGACTGCAGGACCAAGAGTGAGCGGGTATACGCTCCGCTCCGCCAGGGGGCGCTGCGGGGATCCCTGCCCCTACTCTTCAGTCCTGATCCAAGTCCCCGAACCCGGACCAGGACCAGGCCACGTCCCGGAATCGAGTTTAGAGAGCAGGCGGTCGCCAAGCCCCGTCGCGGGGCGCTGCGGAGATCCCTGGCCACTCGGGTTGCGTCAGTGCTCCCCGCTGCGGTGACAGCGACCACTGGGCACTGAGCTCGGTGCCAGGGTCACAGTGGGCTGAGGACGCACCCTAGCGCGGAGGGGACCCTGGCAAGGCCACCCACCGTCCCGAGCACCACACCTGCACCACTGCGGGCCTGGGACAGAGGAGGAGGAACCGCTGCTCACCGAAGGGAACCGCAACCAAGCCACTTGCTCTCAGTGGCTGGGACGCGGACTGGGACACAGGGCGAGCGGGTGCCTCCAGCGCGAGGGACACTTCTCTCAGGGACCCGCATGGCACCTGCAACCAGCACCCAGCAGGGCTGCTTGTGCCTGTGCCTGCGATGAGACCCAGGGGTTCAGCACTCTTCGCGGAACGGTCTGGGGGCTCCCGGCTCCCCACCCTCGAAGGGGCTTCACCCGGATAGGACTACACCTGTATCAAAGGACACCGACTGCCTGGCAGGTTTTAAACCTAGTGCTCCAGCCCCAGTTAGTGCCTGACTCTGAGAGGAGAGAGGTTTTTTCAAATGTCCTTTGCCCAGATGGCAGGCATAGGATCTTGCAATGAGATGGAAGCATTTAAAATGTTACCCAAGCCTCTCAGGGTGGGGAAATGATCGCTCCCACTGGTTTGGTGGAGACAGTTGTTCACAGAAAAGCGTACTAAAGACCACCGCTGGATCCAAGGGCTCCCGAAACTGGCAAATAAAAATCGGTCCCAGGACTGCGCAAGAAGGAGGTGTTGGGGAGCAAGTAACACTCAAAAAGGCAGGCGCCAGAGCTTCTCAACCAGAAGGAGACCAGAGAGAAGTGGAGGAGAAAAGGAACGTGCGATCCCGTGTGCAGTTAACAAATCCTGTTTTTAGTAGAATATTCAGGTGAAAGGGTATTGGCAACACCCGGTTACCACGGAAATGCCCCTCAACTCCTCTGCAAACATTTCATTTTCATAACTAACTTGATGCCCTGCTTTTTCTCAATGACCTTTCCCACTAGAATTTTCCCAGCCAGGATGGTATGCAACAGCCTGAAGAATTGCACACACAGGACCAAACTCACCACCTTGTTGACGTCAGAATTCCGCAGACCAAGTCCAGATGGAACAGCCCTGCTAAGCTGAACCTGGCTCACGGCCACCTCAGGGGTCTACCTGGAGTGACCTCACTTCCAGCCCTTGCCCTTCACATTTGCCTTCTTTCCCTGTGAACATTCTGGTCACAACGCGGTGCTGCGTCTGCACTTCAGTGTCTGCATTTGTAAGTGGTCCTCTCTTGAGACTACTGATCTAAATCTGCCCTGAGTCAGGCAGGGAGGAAACAGACAGAAATGGAGGATCTCACTTCTGCTGGTAAGAAAAGACCTCAGAGCACTCTCGGGCCTTCTATTTAATTTCTGGTCTGCAGGAAGAGCAGCCCCAGATCTCACCTCCATTCTGTGTTCCACATTCGTCCTGTAAAAGCTACCCGCACTCGAGGTAAGCGCACAGGTGTCCGAGGCACAGAGGTCACCTTGCTGATCCAACATGAGTAAAATGGAAGAGTGCAGGGAGGCCTGTTTCCCTCCTTCCTGCTGAGTCTTGTTTGTCCCCTTGGCCTCAAACCCATCCTCCATGAGCTCTTATCCAAAAGAAGAGAACAAAGACAAAGGCTGAGGACATGTGGCACTTACCTTGGGCTACACTCTGAGGGGCTCATCTTGAGACATTCCTCCTTACAGGGAAGCCAGGGAGGGCTGGCCTCAGTGTTAGCCTCAGCATTACCAAGCACCCTGACTATTTTGGTAAGTGCAAGCCCCACTTGTGTTGATCAAGCTTCAGAATCACAACCCAAAGTGCCTGATGACCCTCCAGGTGGCTGGACACTTGCCCAGAATTGCTGGCTGCCACAAATGCCCAGGGCCCCTGCCCTCTGCCTATGCCATTCCCCAGACATCTTTCTTTCTCACCTGAGCCTGACTGAATCCACTCCATGGATATTTCTAACCACATAACATCTGAAAAGACAACTTCGCAGGATTAGACTCATCTACAAGACAAGAAAGCCAAGCAAAGGAGGTAAGAAACTTGTGAGGGAGGAAGAGAAGGGTATTGTCTTCACATCTGCATCCAAGAAATGGGCAAAATTATCTGGGTATCTGTCTTGGTTACTTTTCTCTTGTTGCTGAGACAAAATACTTGAGGGAAAGGTTTATTTAGCTTACAATTTTTTCACCGTCTCAGGCCATACTCAGCTGGCTCCAAAGCAGGGAGGCGTGGCTGAGGGGCAACAGTTCATAGCAGATACAAGCCACAAGAAGGAAAAGGAGAAAAAGAGAAAGCATGCCTCCTTCCCTCTCCTACATAGTACGTCGGCTCCACCCCTGGGCCGGTGCAGGACTCACACTACCAGTCCCAGCGCTAGACAGTGAATCAATCACAAACTCTAGAGTCAACTCCCTTGAAAGGCCCACCCCCATGACCACATGAGGCTTTGTGGGGTACATTAAACACAAGCCATAACAGTATCAAAGCACAAAACTTCCGTGAGCACTGTCCTCTAAGAAGACAGCCCATAGATGGTATCAGGTGATACAAAAACATGAACAAAACAGGGAAGCACAACAGGCAACAGGTCCAAAGACTGTTCCCACATGTGTACTGTTTTTCCTCTTGTTTGTGAAATATTTTGTTAGGCATTTTAGAAATGTCTTCCCTTGAGGCCAACTTGGAACACAGCTAGCCGAGTACATTTGACCTTTCCTACTCAGATGAAGGGTTAGAGGAAAAAATTCATGTTAGTAGTTGTGAATACAGCCGAGTTTGCTGGGTCAGACTTCATTTTCACAGCTTTCAAGGCTTTTTAGTGTTCTCAAATGTTCCATTTCCCAAAGCAGTTGTAAGTAGGGTACATCTTTGTCATGATCTCTGTCAACTGGAAGCTTACCATATTCAGTACAGGAACTAATTCATTAGTATCAGTTTTCCTAAATGGATCAAAGTTAGTTTAATATCTCAATACATTAGCAAAAATAACTGTGGAGGACTGGAGGATAACTCCTGTAGAACACTTGCCTAACGTGCAAGGTTCCATGTTGATCCCCAGGAGGTTAGGGTTAGATTTTACTGTTATCCATAATTTATAGACTGACTTAGTAACTAGGTTGGTAAAATGTTTACAGCAGAAATTGGAGCCAATGTAATCACAGTTATAATTCCAACTCTGAACTGGCTGGGTTAATACTAAATAATTCTCTTAAACTTTCTTTTCTCTCTCTTAAACTTTCCATCCATTTCCAAACCTATAAAAATGAACATAATAATGTATGTAATTCAGTACACACATAGATTAGCAGTAATACATATACAGACTTTGATGTGAAAATCATTTTTTAAAAATTGGTCCTGCCTTGGACACAATGGAGTGGCCATTATTAACATTAACTTACTCAGATGAAAAGTTGCAAAGCTGGATAAAATACCAGACAATCACCAATGCAAGACTCTGATCATTTAGGGAAAGGAAACACATAAGAAATGAAGTGCATTGGCTGAGCAACATGTTCATCTCATCTTTCATCCTGAGTGCATTCTTTAAACCATGGTCCAGAGAAATAGTGCCCATCAGAGTGGCCATCTCACTGGGAGGAAGACACAGCACAGCAATGGACATTCAGACCCAAAAGCTCTGTGGACACACCCTTCAGAGCAAATTCCTAAGCTGAATCTGTGCAAATAAGGCTGCTAAAGGGATCTTAGAGATGACTGTGGGAGGAAGAGATATTGGTATGGAGGTCCAGGCATTGCAGAGAATTGGGATGGACACCCAGACATTTGTCAAACTCCCAAAGAGGAGACATCTTAGGGTTGAGAAGGATGCCCAAGCAGTAATATCTACACCGTAGGACTAAAGATGAAACATAGACCCTCACTGAGTTTACAGCCAAACCTTGGCATGATAAAGGCAAGCACAAGTAATTTGATTGTCTTCCAAATTAAAATGGAATGTTTTGTAAGATATTTTATGCAAAATTTCTTTAACCTCTGTCTATAACATCCAACAATTAATCAGAAATTGCCGTCTGTCCACTTCTTATGCTTTGATTTTGTAACTTGAACAACTACTTCTAAGATAACAATGTGTAATTTATTAACTAGTGATTTCATACTGTTACTTTTTTCTATATTATTTCTACCCATTTTTCTTTTTTTTTCTCTAAATAAAAAAAAGAAATTGTTACAATTGCAATAATCTGTAGCAGGGAATTGCAAACATTTTCTGAAAATGTTAAGTAAATTTCTAGGCTTTGTAGGCTACACAGTACCTGTTGCAACACCTCTGCTGCTGCATGTGAATATGGCCATGGACATTATTTAAATGAATGAGCCTGATCATGTTTCAATAAAACTATAATGATGGACATTTAAATTTGATTTTCATATACTTTCTATTCATTTTAAACCATTCCTTTCTTAATCAATTAAAAAT